TAATAGTAATAATAATAATAATAATAATAATAATAATAATAATAATAATAATAACGTCGAGTTGTTATAACAGGGTACACATGTGGTAGCGTGTCAGATGAAAAGTAAAAGCTCGCGCTTACCTTCGTCGTCGCTGCTGTAGCTGCTGTACCGTGGCAGGGCGCTGTGATGGGGCGCAGCCCCACTTTTCCTCGCGTCCGTGCTCTTGCTCCGGGGATGGTGGGGTCTGTGGTGGGCGTCGTCGCGTCTACGGGAGGCATGCCTGTTGACGGCCGCTTGCTGCTCTGCCAGGGCGGCCTCGTGGGCAGCCAACTCCAGGAGGGTTTGCTGCTTGTAACAATTGGCCAGATCGTTGGTGTGCTGTTGCTGACGCTGGGCCGGGGCGACGTTTGGCTTTCGCGTCAGCGGCGACTGCAGCATGCGCTGCTTCCACTCCAGTAAGCGCTTCATTGACTCTTCGCGCTGGAATCGTGGTTCATAGTATTTAGGGTGGGCTGCTTTTTTTTTTTTTTTTATTCACTCAAGTTCGGGGCTCTCCGTAAATGGCTATCGTGTGCAGATAAGTGAATAAATTTTATGCGCGTTTTACTCAGCTTTCAAAATATAGGCAACTCGTAGCAAAAACCGGTTGAATAATAAATTGTTTTTAAATGTTATCCTATACCGAGAATATACGTGTAATGGTCACATCAGTTGTAACGTGCGAAAAAACCCTGTAAAATGAGCACAAATTACACGGGAAAAAGTACAATACGAACAAAAAAGGTCATTGTTTCACACAAACTGTTGTCCATTTCACTTTTGGCGAGTACCTGCCGTAAGTACTCCCCCTCACCAAGACGCGGGGAGTTTCACTTTGGTGCACTGGCGCGTGAGAAACGAGTTTACCCGTCAAACAGGACCATTTAAAAAAAGTAACACATGAAAAAAAAAAAAAAAAAAATCAAGTTATTAAAAAAGGTGAAACATAGTAATTCACAATTACTCTATCAAATTCTCAACAACGTATTTATATTTTTGATGCGTATATCCCTCGTCGCAACATTCCACACCATTAAACAACATTACCGTCTAATTTCTTTGCAACTTCTAAAAAAGGGTAATAAATTAATCATTCGTCCATTGTACCTTGAATAATCGTAAACTGGCAACTTCAGTGACCACACATGTACCTTTACGCGAGAAGCAATGGACAGTCCTTTCATCGCGTGCCACACGGACTAATTTAAAGCTATATATTTAAAGCTTTCTTTTAAAAATACTATTTAACTACCTAGCAGCATAATGATTCCAGCCATTATTTCATTAAAAGCGTGAAAAAGTTTCATTGTTTCCCGTTATGGTAATCCGAGAGTCGTTTCTTAACCACTTAAGATTCTAATTAGCTTCAAGCGCTTGAAACATTTTTTCAACTCTTCCTGTGGGTATAATTAAATAAATTGAATGAGTCGATTTTTCATTGGACACACTGATTCCATGCACTAACAGATTTTGGGATGAATCATGTGTATACATCTTTTTTTTTTTTTTTTTTTTCAATTGTCATAAATATATATTTTTAAATAATTCTCAAGAAAAAATAAATGTACAAAATATTTACAATGCTTAATTGTTATAGCTCGTTATGATTGTTTTTACGCACGTTTATCATGCATTGAAATATATTTATTCTTCATGAATTTCAATCTAAATATTACGGAAATTAAAGATACACACGCATACATTCGTCAAAATTGTATCCTCAGCTCGTCGTCATCTTTCCAACTCGCAACTCACTCGGTCACGTATGAATAACAAGAAAAAAAAAATACAGAGAGCAAAAGGGGACAGAGAGAGCCGAGACGCAACAAAGAAATCATTAATTTATACGCGTGCAGAGATAATCTGCTTCAATCCAAATGGATAATATTAGAGGATGTGAAAAAAATCAGTTGCAAGTTGGAAAAAGACGCGCGATCTGTATGATATTAGGATTTACAAAGATAACGTTGAACGGAACAAAGGAACGTTTACAAAAATATTACTTGTCGACGAATTAGCGATGGAACGCTTAACGAAAATCGTAATAACATGTCGATATAGAATATATAATTCAATGTACATGTAATAATAAAAGTTTACATCAACTACCTTGTGTCTAACTATGGACAATACTAGAGTGTTTTTTTTTTTTTTTCATTAAGTTAATCGTTTGTAAATTTATTAAGTGTAAAATGCAATTTCTATGAGTTATTAACGTAAGTACTAGACTAATACGATTTTTGAACATATTTGCTTTGAAAGCGTACAAAAATATTGATACAAATATTATTAATTAGGAAATGTTTGTTTTTTGTTTGCCACCACAATCACAATAAAAAGTTGTTGGTCTTAATTTTTTTATTCTTTGCTTTTTTTTTTTTTCATCATGTACTTGATAGAATATCAAAATTTATGTACAGAGTATTGAAAAAACCATTTCTAAGCTACATAATCTTTATTATAAGTACAATAATTTTTTTTTTAACGATTGAAAATAAACGTCTTGTTTCATATAGACAATATTTTTATAAAATTTCATTAAAAAATAAAAACAATTTCGTTTTCGTTACTTTAACCATTAATCTTATTATTATTATTGTTACTATGATTATTGTTATGTCAGTTTTTCGATAAAAAAAAAAAAAAAAATTTTTTTTAAAACTGCTCACAGTAATCATGTACTGTCGAATCATTGTTCACGCATTACATGTACAAATAATAAATACGTCACGCCGTCTTTATTGTCAAAGTGCAAAAATAAAGATAAAACACCGAAAGCTCTCGGTCTTGCACGCAGGTACTTTGGTAGTTGGTTCGAGTCTCTCTCTTCCATATCTGCGTTCGTGTGTGCAAAAGTGTCAATGATAATGATAATGATACCACTGTGTATTTTCTGGAAGAACAGTTCGGTACGGCGTAAGTACTCCAGCCCGCGGAAAGCAAGAGGAGTTGGTCGTGATAGTGGTGTACAGAAGCGGAGGATGAAGAAGCAGTGGTGAACGAAGAGCGGCACGGGAAAGACGACGACGAAGACGACAATGCTCGAGGATTATCGCTCTCTCACTTCTTGTACGCGAGCCCAGCACCACTCCGGTAGAGCCACTCACCTGCTCCGTTGCTACGACCCACCGCTTCCACCAACTCCTTCATCCCCTCGCTCTCCGCGCACGGCTGTTGTTTCTGATGCTGCGAGCGACGCTGCTTCGTCGTCGTGGGCTCGGCCTCCGCAATTGCCATTACTTTCGTGGTCATCGTCATCTTCGTCGTCTTTGACTCCAGCTGCGGCCTCGACGAAGCGTCTGCGCCGCTCGCGCAGCCGGTAGCTGCTGCTGACGAAACTGTTGCGACTGGCAACCCTCGTCCCGGTGTGCTGCTGCATCCATCCCCCAGCGCCATCGAGGTGCGCTGCTGCTGCTGTTCCTGGAGTGAGCAGGCGCTCGACAGCAGATCCCATTGGCGCAGCTTCTCGCGATCGAGCTCGAAGCTGTTGCCGTTGTCTGCTGCTGTCGATGGCTGCTGTTGATGCTTCAACCGGTGTTGGCTGCGAACTGCTGCCGGGACAGGGTTGCCTTCCGCTAAAAAATGCCGACTACTTTGGTTTTGCGGGCTGGTGTCGGGTTTGCGGTACGCCTCGTTCTCCGGATCCCAGATGTATCCTCCAGCCCCGATGCGGTCCATGGCTAGGCTCTCGTACGCATCGTCCTCCTCGTCGGCGTTCGGCAACGAGGTGCTCGCCTCCGGGGTGTTGTTGCCGTTTTCGTTGTCCCCATTGTTGCTCTCGTCGCTTCGCCGTTTCGCTCTAAGCCGTTCGACCGAGTTGACCACGCTGTCGTTCACGTAGGTGACTCCTCTGGTTATCTTTGCCCGGCCTCTGTTTTGCGTTTCGGCAGAGGTCGCGTTTCTAGCCGAGGCCGGTGTGTCCAGATTGTCGAGGGATCGGGCGTGACGTAGACTGACCCTACGGAGACTCTCCCGCCATAGGCTGTCCTGTTCCCAAGGATCCCCGACTTGGAAGGTTTGGTTTCCGTCGGCAGGCGAACCGGTACCGGCTTCCGCCGCGAGGCTTGTGCCAAGCGTTTCCAATTGCGGCTGTGCTTGTTGAGTCACAACTTGAGCTTGCTCACGCTGTTGTTGTTGTTGTTGTTGTTGTTGTTGTCTGCTTGCCATGTTTCTTTGTTCGACGAGAGCTTGCAGGCCGGCATCATCGAGTAGACCTTCCAACGATCTGGATCTTCTATGAGATGCTTGCGAAGTACTTGGGAATTCGTTGCCGGCCGGGTTGTCCGCACTCAGTTGAGTTTGGCTGCCGGATTTGTCCTTGAAGCCATGAGGAAAGAGGTTCCTCGCGTTGAAGGCGTTCGAAGATCCTTCGGAAACGGGGTCCGTTGACTTGACCCTTCTCAATGTATCTGCCTCGTAAAAGTTTCTTTGATCGACTAGCGTAGCCTTGTCCTCTGCCAGCAATTGACACGTCGTTCTCTTCAACTCTGCAGCTATGCGTCTCGCTTCATCGATCCCATCAACTTGTATTTGCCGAGGCATTTGACGCACGATCGGGTTGATTATCCTACCGATGTCGTTGCGTTTGTTGGGCCCAGAATCTCCTCTCTGGTTGTTGAGCTGTGGCAATCTTGAAGTTTGAGCTATGGCACAGGGCCTTGGGTGTTGAAGAACCTCAGACCTTTGAGACTCGGCGTTGGTGGCTTGGAGATCGGAGTAGTAGTACGGTGCTCCTCCTTGATCGCCCTGAGGTGGATTCGACGTTGCTCGAACAACTGTGGACGTTGAAGCTGGATATTGGCTGGAATCTTGGCTTGAGGACGAACGGTGATTTGGTGACAGGGAATAACGGGCTGAATCTTGACTCGCTGATCGAGAGTGGAATTGTGGCTGTGGCTGCTGCGATGTTCGCTGTTCGATGTAACTATTGGTTGACTGAACGGTAGCTATCGTTGGAGAAGATTGCGTCAGCGAGGACTGAGCACTTGCTGGTCTTTGAGCTGAATAATTGGCCACTGATGCAGTGCCGGAAACGAAGGAGTAACTGGAATCCCGGCTGTGCGTTGCCACAACTGTTGCCAGAGGCGATGGGACGATCTTACTGGCTCGATAATTGTGCTCTTGCTGTTGATAAATCATGTCTCTGTCGTGCCTCGGGGATACCGTAGCAACAGCTGCTGTGGGTGACGAATGCAGCGGTGAAAATCTCGAAACGTTTTCGTAATGAGCATCACCGGTAAACGATTGTGAATGCTGGTGACCTGTAGGTGGCATTTCGCTCACTCGCATCGAAGGCAAACTACTCGCCGAACTCGTTTTACTCCTTGTGCCGTAACTAAAGGGCCGATCCAAGCTATTGTTGGACTCTGTGGTAGCTGCTATCGCCGTTTTACTCGCGTCTGGATAGGTAGACTTTTGCAACTTATCAGCGACAAGCATGTTTTCATTCAGACCGTAAATGCTGTTATAACTTAGATCTTTGGTATAAAGATCAACGTTGAAAGCATCTCTAGCTTGTAATTCTTCGAGGTACTGATCTAGATCGATACTGGTACCATCGAAGCGGCTTCCCAAAGATTCTAGCTCATCCAAACTATCGAGAACCTCGCACATGTCATCACTGACCGGGCGCCTCTTCAACTGACGATGTCTGGCCTCTTCCTCGGGGTTCCTTAGTTCCACGGAATCACTACCCGAAGCGCTTTCTAGAGACATCCGACTGTCGTGGAATGTTGAGTTTATCGTCGCATCCGAGTACCGGGACGGCGATCTTCGTACTTCTACCTGAGCGGCAGGTTTATTCCAGGATTTAGGCGAATCCTCCTGGCTGTTGTAGTCGTGGTGCGAGACTTGGGAGCACATTTTCTTCATCTCTAGAGAATCTTGCATTTCTAACGAATCAAGATCATCCAACGGTGGTGGTGACGTTGGTATCGGTGGAGGCGATACCAATTCACTGTCCGACGAGTCGTGGAGTTCAGCAATGAGTGTCTGACTAGCCCCCAGGTAGTAAGAAGCCGGCCTGAAGGTGTCGGACAAGCTGAAACGTGGATGGCGTGGAGCATCGATTGAATCTAAATCTTTCGAAGATTCGTCATCGGCGTCTGAACTGTCTGACTTTAAAGCTGTGAGGATATCGGGAAGACCAGCTCTGGCGTTCTGTGAAACTTCGCTCGCTGATTCTTTTCTTTTCATCGAACTTTTTAGTATCGATGGGTTCTTTTTGGTCTCCTCGGCTTGGAGTTGACTAACTTCCATGTAAACCGGTTCCATTTTGTTATCAGCCACGCAAACAAACTCGTAATGTGTATTATACAAAGTTGAATAATCACTGTAATCTTGTTTTCCCCCACTACTAGCACCACTGTCCGGTGCAAAAAGCGAACGCGAACTTCCGTTCTGCGTCATTTCTACGTACGAGCTTTCCTCTCCCAGATTCGCAAATAGGCTTTCCATCATTTTTGGCATCGGTCTGTCCTCGTTATTAGGATCTAATATGGCTTTCCTCGGTGTCATCGGGAGGTAGTGCTCCTCCAAATTTGGATCTTCGATTTGCTTGGGGATCGGACTAGCGTTGTCACTTTCTCCCGACAGCCGATCTCCATGAGTCACCAAAGATTCCGTCACGCTCAATCGTGTAAAAGCTGGATTAATAGTTTCGTCGACGTTTATTTCGTGCGAATGAATATTTGACGAGGACAAATCAATCGACGACTTGACAGATCCACGTCGAACCTCAAGGGGTTTCTCCATACTGGCAGACTCTTTGTAATTGGGCACGATTTGGTCAGGCTCCTTCTCATCGCAACTCTTTTCCAACTGTTCGAAATCACTTCCCATCTCATACATATGAGTTTCCCCATCGCCACGACATTTCGACTCCTTTTGTTGCTTGTGTTGCTCATGGTCCTGCTGCTGCTGAGACTTTCTTTCGAAATCGGCAAGCAAATCCTTAACCGATTTATTACGATCCGTCAGTTTCGCGTCGTCATCGTCCGATTCCTTCGCAACGGACTCGGCTTTTTGAGCTCTTGGGTCACCCAAAGCAAAGTCGCGGATCACACCTGCGCTCGATTTGCGAGGCGAATCAACCAAACGAGACACTTGAGCTTCGGTTGCCGTTTGAGGTGGTGACATTTTCAATGGTTCCTGCATTCCATTGTTACTTTTCTCGGGACTCGAATGCTGCTCCTTGTTGCCCTCGAACGATCGTATTCGACTTTGCACGAGATTAACCGAATCACTTTTCATCGGCTCGGTCCCGCTTTCTTTCGCGTCATCCTGCCTAATGTACTGGTACGAAAATTCTTTGACCACTTGGCTCTCGTCGATGTTGGAATCAAAGTCCGCCTTGTTGTCTTCGTCGTTGCTTGAATTCCACTGCACGTTTTTTTGCACGTGTGGCCAAGTCTCACTGGGCACGTAACTAGCCAATGAACTGTGTCTACCGGTCTCATGACGAGTGCTCGGATGATTACTCGAGTACGATCCAGAGGTTTTGAGGATACCGAGTGGCTTTTTGGGAGTTACCTGCTGTGGACGTGCCGGCTTATTTGCTTCCCGTATGGGGTAGGTGTCGAGCTTGGAGGTTGGTCTTTGAGGATTGACGTAGGGAGTTGGAGGGTTCGTTGGTGGGAACGACATTTCTTCGTAACCCGTGTCTAGGGGGGCAGAGCTGCCGAATTCGGGCCGAGGAGACGGCCGGTGCAACGACGGTTGTGGCTTTACGCTGATGATCGGCGAAGGTGATTGTCGTTGTTGGAACGGCTGGCAGTTCGCGGGTGACGATGAATGGGCCGGCTCCTTCTCGAAACCTCGGGGGCTTCTGCCTGTATGTGGAGGCCTGCGTGTGCGTTTCCGGCGGACGTCGCTTAACTCTGGATTTTTTTTTTTTTTTTTTTTGAACATTTGGAAAAAAAGATGTTTTTCGTTACACTTTAGTACTTTTTTTTTTTTTGGTTTGGTGTACACCATTTAATATTTAATATTGCAGGATTGAACGAGTAAGACCTTGAAACTTTTAGCTTTTTTTTTAAATCAAATTTCAAAGGGTAACATCAATAACACTTTATCAATTTTTCTCCCAAAAGAAGGAAAAGAGAAAAAAAAAAAAAAAAGGAAATCAAAAACGCAATGTATGGCACTTTTTTTTTTCAACATTCTTAAACTTCAAGGTCTCGTCGCGAACAACCTTTTTACTGTGAGGAGGATGCCGATGAAAGTGAAGCCCTTTTGATACCAGGATTAAATATACCAAGGACCGCAAGCCACAGAAAAGAAAGAAAGAAAGAGGAATGAAAGGGGGGAAAAAAGAAAAAATAGAGGGCAAAAAATGTTTTTACCCTCGTATGTAGTTGTAATAACAAGCAGTAAACGGGTATTACTTTATTAGTTATTTTGCGACATGCGACATGCAAAGCAAATTTCACGGATTAATGCAAAGGAATGGAAAATCACGACAAGGTTTACGTAAAATGAGTTCTCGTCTTTTGTCAGTGACAAAGGATGGGACGCATGGAAGAGTAAATATCGTTTGTTAAGTACCAAAGTGTTAATACAATATAATATGATCCAGTCACCAAAAAAGCCCAGAGCCTTGGCCCCCACACAGGCGCACAGAGGAGGAAGGTTCCCCCGAAGATTTCGGAGAAAGGAGATTGCGCTGCACTTTTTTTTATTATTATTTTTTCACGCTTGATTAGTCTATAGGATCTAAATATTACGACAGAGGGGTGTAACAACATACATATATATGTTTCATATACATACTGGACTCAGGGGGTTGGACAAATAAGTTACAATAATCGAGATAGCACTTTTTTTGTTTGTTAGTGAGCTGGTTAATGGCGAATTATTGTAGACAGTGGTGTTAGACAAAAACACGAGTCAAAGACGCCTGTCGAAACTCAAAGTTCGTGGCATAACCAGAGACCTTTTGAGAATATTATTCCGAAATCATCAGGTGAATTCATGTTAAATTTACCTGTAAAGTATTATTTACTAAAATTATAAGCGGTGCATCATGAATTCCGAAAAATATTCGTCATAAAAGGCTCTCCGGTGCATACCCTGCAAAAGATCGTACTACATGAATATCCTTCGTGACATTTGACAATGTGTTGTGTACCACCACAAGCTTGAGTTAAATCGCAAAACTCGTCGAAAAACCTGGATGACTTTTGTTTACTCGAGTTTTAATTTTAATTTTTATCCATCGAATCGATACACAGTGCTCTCCAGATCCCTCGACTTGCGCACGTGTCAAAGCGAGGGCCAATAAAATCCAAGGTGACAAACAGTAGGGTGTGTGATATTTGTCGCTATTAACGTGTTTGTCGACGTGTATATAATAATAATAATAATAATAATAATAATAATAATAATAATAATAATAACGTCGAGTTGTTATAACAGGGTACACATGTGGTAGCGTGTCAGATGAAAAGTAAAAGCTCGCGCTTACCTTCGTCGTCGCTGCTGTAGCTGCTGTACCGTGGCAGGGCGCTGTGATGGGGCGCAGCCCCACTTTTCCTCGCGTCCGTGCTCTTGCTCCGGGGATGGTGGGGTCTGTGGTGGGCGTCGTCGCGTCTACGGGAGGCATGCCTGTTGACGGCCGCTTGCTGCTCTGCCAGGGCGGCCTCGTGGGCAGCCAACTCCAGGAGGGTTTGCTGCTTGTAACAATTGGCCAGATCGTTGGTGTGCTGTTGCTGACGCTGGGCCGGGGCGACGTTTGGCTTTCGCGTCAGCGGCGACTGCAGCATGCGCTGCTTCCACTCCAGTAAGCGCTTCATTGACTCTTCGCGCTGGAATCGTGGTTCATAGTATTTAGGGTGGGCTGCTTTTTTTTTTTTTTTTATTCACTCAAGTTCGGGGCTCTCCGTAAATGGCTATCGTGTGCAGATAAGTGAATAAATTTTATGCGCGTTTTACTCAGCTTTCAAAATATAGGCAACTCGTAGCAAAAACCGGTTGAATAATAAATTGTTTTTAAATGTTATCCTATACCGAGAATATACGTGTAATGGTCACATCAGTTGTAACGTGCGAAAAAACCCTGTAAAATGAGCACAAATTACACGGGAAAAAGTACAATACGAACAAAAAAGGTCATTGTTTCACACAAACTGTTGTCCATTTCACTTTTGGCGAGTACCTGCCGTAAGTACTCCCCCTCACCAAGACGCGGGGAGTTTCACTTTGGTGCACTGGCGCGTGAGAAACGAGTTTACCCGTCAAACAGGACCATTTAAAAAAAGTAACACATGAAAAAAAAAAAAAAAAAAATTCAAATCATGCACTTAAATGGAAAAACATCGTGATGTCGGCGGTTTATATCGGTCAGGTGAAATACCGATGATTCACGCGAGACGAGCCACGCGAGAGGGGGACCAAACGGAATACCCAATACACGAGGGGTTTACACACATATATATTGGTATACTCGAGAGGTGAAAGCTGTATAACACGCGGTTGCCCTGACGAGCTCGCGGCCGTACAGAGACTGAAATACAAGACGAAACTGCATATATACACATAACATAGGAGTGCAGGTTTAAAAGTCAGTCGTTGCTGTTGTTGTTTCCGCGTTTTATCGTATACGTGGGAGCACGTCTTTACACTTACGTCGATGCGTGTGATTCATCGGTTGCTCATTTCTACGATGAGCTCTCCATCCGATCGTTGGTGGCGAGTTTTTTTTTTTTTTTTGTCTTTTCCCCCCCGACTTTCGTGGTACACGTACCTGTACGTACATTTTTTACACGTAACCGATCGGAGACTTGCAAGCAACGGTAAGTAGCTTGTTTTGATGTGTGGGCATACGCGTATGTATATGTATATGCGCGAGTGGCGAGTGACGGGTTTCCTGCTGTCGCGGAAGAAGGCTATGTGCACGCGGCGTTTAGATCGGCTTTTTCCCCCCTTCCCTCGACTTTTGCACAAACGATCCAGTGGGAAAAGAATCTCGTGTGCGCGGCTCGATTTGTTGGAAATGGCCTTTTTTTTCCTTTGTATACGTATAAAGCGCGCTGCGTTGGCGTCGGTGTTACGTGACTTTTCCAAAAATGCCCCATTTGGGGCGACCGTACCGAGGGTATATGGCTTTTGGTTTTCAACGTCGTCGTAAAGGCTCGAGAAACTCCTTGCATAACGAAATGAGAATAAATTGCCATTTTTTTTTTTTTAGTGTAAGCTAAGGTAAGAAAAAAAACTAGACGGTATCTGTGAAACACACCCATGTACTTTTTCAATGACCCACATAATATAAGATCCGTACGCGTGCAGCCTCGGCAGTAACGGAATACCGCGTAAAAATACTTGAAATGCGCGCCGGACCGATCGCAATGTCCAATAAATAACGCGCGGCAAAAAACAAACAGCGCCGACACGCTTCATCGCGGGCGTTAATCATAAAACAATCGACCGAGCTCTGTTTTCGCAACTGCGCGCCTTTTGATGGAGAAAACTTGCCGATCTTCCACCGAATCGGTTTTGTAGAGGGTAAAAAAAAAAAAAAAAAAAAAAAAAGGTATGACCACTCACCTGTTGAATCTTGCGCTCACCATCCCTCGAGTCCTGCCCGGATGACTTTTCCGCGTAATCGTCCTCGTCGTCGTCGTCGTAGTCGATGATGGCCGCGGGATGCCTGTTGCGCGGCAGCCTCGCGCTTGCCGATCTAGCGAACTGCTGCTGCTGCGACTCGGACCAGCGTCTGCTGCCAGCTCCGCTCGCCGCCACGTGAGCCGCTCGAGCGCCCGTCGACTCGTAGTCGCGAGGCAACGAACGGCCGGGCGAGTGATCGGTGTGAATCAGAGCCGGGCCTCGGGTCTCGCGCAGCGATCGTCTCAGATGTGCCGCCTCGCTCGTGCTTAGCCTGGAGGAATTTTTTTTTTTTTTTTCTTTTTTTTTTCTTGCTTCTTTTCGAACGAGAACACAAAAAGAGACTGAGAGAGAGGGAACCGGTGCTGTGCCAGTTTGGCTCTCGAGGAGCCAGCGCGTGGGTGTTTATGTTTGTTTTCATTCAGCTCGGACTTTTCGGGAACCTGTTGAGCCCGGGGAATCGCCGCGGTTTATGTGTTTTTCACTTTAACGAAGAGTTTGTCGGGACTTGTTGGTTTGATCTTTTTTTTTTCATCTCGTTTTTTGTAACAAACAAGCGATCATTCACTATATTTAAATTAACACATGATGAAAAAAAAAAAAAAAAAAAAAAAAAAACGCTCGTCATCTCACAAGCTGGTGGTAAAATTATGCGTTGTACGCAAGTACATCATACTCACTCCGTGTGCCTCTGAAGGGGATGGGGTTGGTGGGTATGGTCCCTCTGGGGCCGTCCAATCGACGCGCACGACATTTCCGATAGCGTGCCGATGCCGGACTCGGTGTCCCTCGAGATCGCGCTCGACTTGGACGGCGTCGTCGCCCTCGACAGCGACGGGTTCTTTTGCTGCTGCGGCTGTTGTTGTTGTTGCGGCTGCTGAAGGTGCTGGGGCGTCTGGTGCAGGTAAACGGCGCTCTGACGCATCTGGGCCGCGTACCTGTGAACCCAAACGTCACTGTTGGCATTATGGAAACAAAAACAAAAAAAAAAAGATAAGGAAATTATTTTTATCCTACTATCCAGCGGAAGCTTCGCGTGTAATCGCGAGTGAATCATTGCTGTGCAATCATCGACGACAATATCTTTCGCGCACACACCCGCCTTTTTGAGCAAACAACACATGTACATACACAAAACCATATACATACCTTTCCTCCGAGTAGAAGTAATTGTCGTTAGTGGCTCCGATCTCGGACGGGGCGACGATGTCGAGGCTCGATTTCGGCCTCTGGGGGCACCTCGGCTGTCCAACGACGTTACCCGACTGCGTGGGCGTCTGGACCGGCCTCCGGTTCGACTCGTACTCGAGAAAATCGGCACTATGCGGCCTCGGTGGCTGCTGTGACTTTGGCTGCTGCTGCTGCCTCATAACCGGCACTGTCCAATCAAAAACCACAAACACACAGGGTTACCGCACTCTCGATTCATAAACACACGTGTGTGTATGTATATTATATGTATGTAATATGTTACCATTGGCCACGGGCTGCTGGTAATACTGGGTGTGATGTATCGGCTGCTGTTGGGGCGCGTAAACCGGTATGGGTATGGGGGCAGGGGCGGGTCCCTTAGTGTAGCCCACCGGTCCAGCGGGCCTCTGGTACAACTGGGGCGGGGCAACGCCGTACACGTCCTCGTAGTCCCCGTTGATGGTTCTCTGTTGCTGTCGACTCGTCGATTTCACGCTGCTTCTGCCGTAAGTGTCGGGCGTGCGCCTCTCGGCGGCTTGTCCGACCGAGGCTTGGTTGAAGCCGTAGTTCAGGCCCGACTTGTCCGTCCTCGGGGCCGGTGGTTGCAGGGGTATCCTCTGGCCGTAGATGGGAGTGGGGTTGCGCGCGTCGACGTACTCGACGATGGAAATGGGACTCTTGCTGGCGAGCCTGACGTCGGGCGAGACCGGGGACTTACGGTAGTCGGGGTCGGGCGAGGGGGTCGAGTAGTCGTTCGAGTTCTCGGTCAGCCTGCGGGGCTTCGGGGGTGCGTTGGCATACAGTGGCTGGCCGTAGTTGCGGGGCATCGGCTGGACACTCTGCACCTGCTGCTTGTGCGATTGGATGAGCTGTTGTTGCTGGTGTTGGTAGAGCATCGCCTGGTGCTGGTGCGAGTGGGGCACGGGCTGCTGTTGTATCACCCCCTGCATCATCGGGTGGCTATAGGGACTGTTCCCAAGGGCGTCCGGATGATGTTGCCTGTACTGCGGCGACTGCTGCTGCATCCAGCCATTCATCATTGGCTGCGGCGTTACCGTGTTACTGTTGTTATTGTTATTGTTGTTGTGGTTGTTGTTGGCAGTGACGCTGCTGTTGGTGTTGTTGTTGTTGTTGTTGTTGTTGTTTGTGGTGGTGGTGCTGTTGTTGCCGCTGCTGCCGGGAAAGGAGCCCGTGTTGACGCTGTTGGGGCTGGAGTTGTTGTTGGACGCGTGGCTGGGCTCGTCGCGGGACTGAAACCCGTGGAAGCCGGAGTCGCTGTCGTCCGCGCTCTGGTTCATCATGGACGAGATCGAGGATACGCTCGGTCGGGCGCTACGGTCCCCGTCACCCGTTGCTTGCTTCGCCCCCTCGGACCCGTTGTTTTTATCTCCTCCCCCGCTGTTTTTTTGGAAAAAAAAAAAAAAAAAAAAAAACGTTTATTTTTTAATGCCATTGAATACTTTATACTAATATGTTTTGTTTTATAATTCATGGAACATATGAATGGGGCAAAGGTCATCAAGTGAAATCTAACGAAAGAGTATTTATAGCAAGGTATGTATGAACACCTGAAAAATAAACATCTAATGCCACTGACTGCGTTAATTTAGTCAGTTGATTATGGGACCTAACGATAAAGAGTTTTTTACAATCGCAATTTTTTTTCCTTCATAACAACTACAAATTGTGGAACAAAACTCAATTTACCATTTACAAAACCACGTACACTCGTAATCCCCAATTTTTGTAGATTATTAAGCTAATTTTGTACGTTATTGTCTGTGCATATACCTTAAGATATATCCAAGATGTGTTGCTTAGCGTTGTTACGAAAGATACCTTACATCACCAGTAATTAAAATTGCCGTTTTACGCAATATCATACAATAATTAGACGGTGTAAACACCCGTGTATTGTTAGATATTTCCAAATTTTCTCGGCTTTCCACTTCAACCCATTGGCCAAACGCAAGTTTAGTACCAAACGTAATCGAATAAGCGCGTTTTACATCCACACGAGAGATTAACGAGCCTCTATCGGCTTAACTTTCATCCCGCGGGCCATTTCGGGCCAAATGTTATATAATCAAAATCACTCGACTCGCGAGTACACTCCATTTCAATCGGAGCTCGGTAAAAAAAAAAAATTGAGAAAACATTATTCATCGAGTTGTCAACTCTTGGTGAAGCTATATTGTACAGAACTCCAACGTGGCCCTATCGATGCATGCAACTCGCTTGTACGGTGCAGCGAAGCGCGCGGAGAGTAACTTTCGCTTGAATTGACGGAGGACCAACTGTAGGGGGATGTTTGATACAGTTACAGCGCGACCACGAAGTTGTTGCATTCACCTACACGCGAACTCATTTGGCCAGGGTTTTCCGATACTTTTCGGAAACCGACCAAGTATACCCATACAACACACTCGGAGTTTGCAAATTTTCGGGTCGTACACGTATTGCTTAAATTAACACCTATAGATGATAAGGTAACAGTACAAAGCTTATACCGGATGAATATTCAAACTCTGCAAGAATAAGGAAATGAATACGCAGGCCGGTTATTGTGTGGTCTCTCGTGCGGAAGTACTTTAATCGGTATGGCCATTGATTCGGCGGTGTGCCTCGAATACTCCCATCACAATTGGCCATTGGTAATTTGACGAGTGCACATGCGGGGGGGGGGGTGTGCGATTCTAAGCTAACACAGGGGGAGGGGTGTGTGTTTGCCGAGCAAAGTATACCCTATAACAATTGTTGGAGTTTCGTCGTGTGCGAAAACTTACGGGTTCGGGTCCTGGAGGAGCGAGGCGAGGGTGAGCGCGTTGACCCATTGGTTCATGCTCTCGCGCGTTTCGGCCGCGAAGTGGTACGTCCTCATGTTGGCGTGCTCGGCCTTGAATGCAAACTTCTTGTTGACTTTGTCCTCGGGCCTGCAGACCGTGATCCGATAGGATGGGAGCAGGATCGAGCCCAGGAGCTTTTCCTCCTCGGGACCTACGGACATACATACATGCATGGGCGTTGATGACCGGGATTTTTTCATGGTTGTTCGTGCACTCTAATTTTTGTTAATGAACAATTAAAGACAAACTATAGTATACACGTAAAAGTGGTCAGTACCACTTGCCGATCTTTTCACTTTATTTTTCCATTACCTAATAAACTCATAGTAAACAAGCGCAAATTGTACGACTCATTCTTTTCGGCTCGAGTGCAAAACAATGAGCAAAACAAACCGGCGTTTCATTTCATCTCTTCACTCTCGACTGGAATAACCGTTTACTCTCTTGCTCTTTGAATCCTAAAAAAAAAAAAGGAAAAAAAAAAGATCCAGCGCCAGACAGTGGAACAAAACGACTGTACGCTTTTCCCCGTGTATAATCAAGCTCCGTTGCGGGATAAAGAAAACGATTACGAGCGAAAGGCGCGGGGCCCCATCAAAAGCTCCGAGCTCTGGAAACACACTCGGCGAGAGAACGCATGAAAGAAGTTCGTGCAGCCTAGCGCGTCAAAGGAGAAAACCTTTTCTTTTCCTTTCTTGAAATTGTGCATAATATGCGAATAGGTATATAAATGTCAAATCCGGAAGTGACGAGTATTTAGCCCGACGAGGACGATTTCAGGGATGAGAAGAGATATCACGATGCAGTAGGTATAGGTATACGAAAAATAAATCATTACGCATACATACATGTGTACATTAACGTCTTTACAAGTCTCACGGTTTTTCTTTTGCAGTTGTATAACGACATCGCGCTCGTGAAATTGTTCCATCGTTATACTGTAAAGTTGCATCGGTAAATTTACAATACCAAGTACATTCTGCTTGAAAGGAATAGGAACTCGTATACAGTGCGCTCAAATTTAACTTTTGCAAAGGTATACAAAGGCGATAATGACGAAAACCGGCAGTGTGACCGTGCAAAAGGATACGCGTGTCCTCGCGCGTATACAGTACACGTAAGTGCGGAGCAAAGGAATTCCCGGGTGCGCGCGCGTGTTAAGTTCGCGCGACTTCCCTCTTAATTTAAATTCTCGGCGCGGCGAGATGATTTTTCCTCCAACCTTTGAATACATGTAGAAGTACGCGTATGCACCGATACCCTCCCTCCCGAGTGCTCCTTTTGTTTCGCCGATCGTTTGACGCGCGCGCGCATTCCCTTTTAATGATTCCCCCTTTGTTTGCCTCCCCCCTCCCTTTCCTTGAAGCTGTACTGCATCCTTTGCCCTTTATCTTTCTCTTTGTATTTTTTCCTTTCCTTTGAGGATTTTCTCCGCACCGCGAGTACCATCGCCCCGAATCCCCTTGCCCGCGTGTGACGTGAAGATGGTACGGGTATGTATACTCCTCCGTGCGAGCTTTTAGCGCAAGAGGATATCAGTGTTCGAAGTTTGAAAATTTATGCATCACCAAGGCTTTTGGTTTCGCGTCCTTTTGCGAGTGCGCGAGCTGGTTATCGCTCGGGTGGATCTTTTGAAAGATTCAAAGATCTACGACTCGCGTGAGAGACGAAAGAAGCCTTTGCTCCCTCGAGGAGCTGATGGATTCTCGAGAAAAAACCAATATCCCTTTTTTACGTTGCAACATTGGATTGTTGTTTTTTTTTTTTTCGAATAACATTAAAATAACAATATGTATATTAAATTGTCGAGTCAAAGATGAGCCAACGGTACCTTTGTAGTAAAAGAGGCAGTACTCGGAGAGGACGAACCAGCGCTTCTTCCAGAGCATGAGGCCCTCCGAGCCCTGCTTGTGCAGCCAGCCTTGGAGGGCGACGGGTGCCGAGACGGGCCGTTTAGCCGCGGGCGAGCGCAAGCCTTGGTGGGGTCCGCTCCGCCGGCGGACCCCTGACATCGACGGCCCATCGCTTTTGCCGCGTACCGGCTGCTGGACCGGTTGTTGCTGTTGCAGTTGGAGCGGCAGCTGCTGCAACTGTTGCCCCTGCTGAGGTGGCGCGGGAGGGCTCGTTACCAACCCCGTCGCCTGGACAACCTGGATAACAGAGCCACGATGAGTGTGGGACTTATGGGTATTGGGTTCATTTTTTTGACGGTTAATCGGATTGCAATTTTATGCATTATTATCCATCGTTATATACAATCGACAGGTCAAAATTAAGTATATCAAATGCGGGATTATCGGTTTTGCTTTGATAACAGGAATAATCAAATTACACGAGTAACTGATACATATGTGTGGGATCAAACACGTTTGCTCGTCGAGTGTGCGGTACATGTGAAGAATTAATTGGCTTATTAAGCGCTAATGAGTACAATCGAGTGTTTGAATTGTGGGGGTTCGCCGAATAAATCGTAATACTCTTCATAATAATTGCAATCTTCGACAAATCGAGTACGCGCAGGTGTGGGTAGTTGGATGATTGTAATTTGATCAATTATTATGATCAAATTAATTATCTAAGGTAGAATTAAAAAAAAAAAAAATTACATGTGAAGTATTTATTATAAATGTGTGTCTCACTGATAGAAAGACTATTTGTCAACTTGTCCCTTATCTTGTATTGAATTGAGTACTTGTACAAAAACATTATAACTTAGGACTATACACAAAGATAATGAGTTATGTAATTAGTTTGTGTTTAAGCTCTAGTCTGATTTTTTCGTTTGATTCTCATTTGACACCAAAATGAAAATGCCCAACTATGCGTGATCTAATTTAAAACTTACAGAAACACTCAATGAAATTTGTTTGAAACAATCACGTGACAAAAAACCCTCCCGGCACACAGCTTTGCGTCTCGACCCTAAAATAACAAGGCGAAATCGTGAGCTCTCGCCTCTAGAGATACTACAGGCTGCCTTGGTACGGCAAAGCAGCGCCAAATAAGTACCTCGAAACAATCGGATTTTCTTGCAACGCGAAAAAGCTGCGCCTCGAATAACAACGAGAAGGGCAAGGATTTTTTTTCCATGTTTTTTTGGCCCCTACTGTTATACTTTTGGATTTTTCAAAGCTGATACTCAGCCCCAAATGTAACATACTCAAAACGCATCATCGAAATTGTTTCATCTATCCAAGAGTCAAGTGTACGGTACCTTCAGAGTCGGATTGCCCCCCGACATCGAAAACGAAGCTCGACGGGGCAAACTTGGTTATTGAGCGATAGCACGCCGGCCACGGTGTATCGCAAAACGGAAAGAGAGGAAAAGCAAAATCTAATAGCCACGGCGCACGCGTTGAGAGAGGGAGCTCCTTTTACTCGATAACCAAAGCCTTTTCTCATTTTTCCTCCCCCCCCCCCGTTTGGGGAGCCGACAAATCGAAAACCACCGTGAAAGAGGAGAAGGCCGATGGTCCTGGAGCGACGCCGAGTAATTGTTTCCTCGACGGCTGCGGCGCAAAGCGGTTTCGGCGCTAGGAAATAAATTATCAGGCCGAGAGCCTTACCATTATATACGTGTATACCTGTGGGCTGCTGGTGCCTACTTCTGTTACTACTACTACCGCTATCAGATCGGAGGATGCACGCGAATTGCGGAACCGAGAGAGGGAAGATTGATACTTGCCATGGGATATGGAAGGAGTGCGCTGCTTCAAGACGAACAGCCGATTGTTCTTGCGAAATGTAAATGTGTATATGTATATGTATATATATGTACAGGGAGTGCTATACTTGCCCCAGTTAGATTTGAGATGGTGATATTTACACGAGGGACTTTTATTAAATTAAAGTTTTAGTTGCTATACCTTTGTTCGTGCTGCGTTTACCATTTTTTTTAATAAATCGAAGGCTCTACTTTTTTTCAAACCAGTGATTATAACAAACGTGTGGGTTGCTTAATATTTATCTCTGCTGCTACGGTTCGTACAAACAGCCAACAGTGATGGCATCTGATTATGGTAATAGTAGGATGATGGCACTGAATGGTGACACGAGCCGAATTCGCTGATTTACCGTAAACCATACCCATCATCGTATCATATACACGGACACTTTTATCCGAAGGACAAATCCTTGCGTTTTTTTTTTTTCGTATATCACAACAACGCAGTTACGTCATTGGAAATTGCTTAACGAAAAATACGAATGAATACGAGAATATAAGTGACGGTCCATCAATCGATCGACGCTTCGACGTTTCATTTTTTTTTCCTCGATGTACAATCTCTGATTCATTCACTCGGGATGTTAAATGGAAGATACGCTGTGTGTATAATATATTATATGAACATGTGGTAATTAACGACTACGCCAAACACATATCCAGACCACGTATGAATCGAGACAAACACGCACGCATACAGAGACCCAATAAATATACTCGTTTCTCTTAATTGATTCTCGTCGATGCCGTCGTGTTTCCAGAGACCCATTGTTTCTCCCGATACCCAATCACTCGTGTGCCCCCTCGAGATGATTTTCACACGAGACTCATGCAAATCGGAGCCGTCAACTCTCTTCCATCCTCGCGCCCGCGAATCCACAACACACGGCCCGTGTAATATATTCCACGAGGTTATCACATCCTTCGTTTACACTGCACATGTGAAAGCTTACACATCCTCACAGCCGAGATCGTCCGACCGAACCGCACCTTTTCTACTTGTTCGATTTATGGGACACGTTTCACACTGTACCCCGTTTCTCACCATCGCCCGTCGCAGTCACGTTCTCGTCAGTACAGGAAAAAAAAAAAAGGATCCGTCAACACGAAAATATTCCTACATCATCCCAGCAGCAAGCCCCCACCGTTTACCGAACCTCGGGAGCTTTGCTCGAAAAGTGAAACGCTCCAAACGCGAAAGCTCCGGCGCTTGTGGCGAAAAAAAAAAATAAAAACAATAAAAAGAAGAAGAGAGAGGGAAACACAGCAGCGGCGTACTATAAATCACTCCTTGACTTTCCTCTCCCGGGCGAGAGCAGCAGTATTTCTCCGGTCCGCAGGCGCCTTAACACCTCCAATAACGTGCCCGTTAATAATATATCTCGCGCGTGCATCCGTGCCCCCCACTCCTTTGCCATTCGTTCGTAACGGTCCGTCCGTCATCCAAACGCGGCTGAGCTGCACCGTACAGCTCAAGATTAAGTCGGGTGGACGTGTATAATAGCATTATATTATACATCGCGCGGACTCTTTCTCTCAAGCACACAATGGAGGTGTCCAGAGGAGGGAGGGTAGGATACCGCGGAAAAACCGATCGGACGCTCCGATCGCAAAATCAAAGCCAGCCTGGCTTCTCGCTTTGGCGAAGGCGTTCATTATTTATCAGTGCAGAGGAGGAGGATCGCGATAGGGATGAACCCTCGGCGGGCATTGTCATACTTATCTCGCGTTTTCGTCGGTCTTCTCTTGTGTGCCTTGGTATATACATATATCTTAATTGTGCACGGGAGAGTGGCTCTCGGGTTTCAATGTCGTTTGGTGCAGGTGCACTACGGAATCCACTGGAATTCAGGTTATTGGGTATTTAGGGACGCACAGGGGGGGCTTCCAGCGCCGATGTGCTCAATCAAGGGGCAGTGGACGTATATATACATACTGCAGGGTTGCGCGAAATTTTCATATCATTTTTTTTTTTTTGGAGATTACAATTGGCGAGTTACAAGAATAAATTATGATCCAACCAACCTCTTCCTTTGGCACAATTTAGCCCAAAATTTACGAACATAGGGCGGGGTTTCGAGTGCCCATTCGTGATTTAAGGCTCAATTACGTGTATTTTCTAACGAGGACTGTTAAACTGGTAATTTACAACCGCTTGCAACAGATTATGTTGTACTTCCGCGCGAAATCCATGGTTATCTGATTTTTTTTTTTTTTTCCTTTTTTTGAGAATTTTAAGGATAACGTAAAATTAATCGGAAAAATAAACGAAGCCTCCACCTCCTGTAACCACGAGAAAATCCAAAAATATCCTTGACCGAAATAAAGACGCAGTTAACAAAAATCCATGTATATATAATTCCTGCAGGGGAGAGTATACGCAGGGTAGAAATTCCAAGCCAACACCCATAGGCACCCCGTAACCGTAAAGCGCTTGAAAGTATAACGTGTCCCTCCTACAGCAAAGCGGAAGGAGTAACTTCCTCCCTCGTTAGTTCGAAGAGCGCTGCTGCTCTGGTTCCTTCCTCTATGCACGTATCCTGCTAATGCTCACTGCGTGCACTCTCTCGGTACGGTGTGGGTGTAGAGGGTGTAGGGTGTCACGAGCCCTCCACACATCAGGTACCTGTTACCCATTGACTTTTGCCTTTTACGTCCCCCCCCCCCCCCGACTGTTTCACCCTTTGCTCGTCAAGCTCCTCTCTTGTACGTCCCGCCTTTGGCGAAGGGAAGGAGAAAATGTGCGGGAGAGGAATAAAGTGTCGCCATAAGTGTGTGGGGGGGGGGATGTGGTTGGGTGGTAGTTTTAAGCTGCACGGGATGAGGACCGGAGAGGGAGTGTATAGCTATGGGGGTAATGGGCAACGAGTCGATAATTAAATTAGTTCGGGGGATGAGGGTATGGAGTTGCGACGCTGTGCTTTAACATATACATCACGAATTATGTGTTGAGACGTGAGGAGGGTCGATAAACTTTGCAAAGGACGAAAAATTCGCGGCCATTGCTTGTGCTTGCACAAAATCAGTTTCACGCTGGTGGTTTCGCTTTGCATGGAATGTTTGTTATACGTACGGTATTCAGTTTATTATAGGAGAGACGCGTCACGCGCATATTACCTTGTATATTTTTATCGATTGCACGAGAGCTTTTTTTTTTACCTTTTGCTGCCGGATGATTGACGAGACGACTGAACTTTGCGCGAGAAATGAGGGTGTGCGTATGTGGGAAGTAAAGAGTATAGAATCACGGAGTCGTGGAATACCTACAAGTGCAATAATCTGTATATATGTGAGTGTTTAAGTAGATATTGGTATTATACACGTTGTTAGTTGCAAGGGCTCATTACTTCGTGTACGTGTCACACGGTGCAGGTGGTACGGTGTGTGAGAATAGTGACAATTTCGATACACGAATGATTTTCGTTA